TTTTCGTAGCACTTCACAAACGCCTTGTTGAAAATTTATTTCTTACACTTTTTGTAACAATGATATCTAATTCTCATCACATAAACTTAAGTGAATATTTGTACAATTGAGAATTTTGAACTGGTGGAAATTTTCTTAACCTCTGACGGTTGTCAAACTTCTGTAACCTCACTTATGCCAGGTAACAACTTATTTAATTATTTACTTTTTGAACTTTCTTTTGTTTTTTCAGGAGAATGAATGACGTGAACTGTTCGATGAATTATGGAAGACTGGCTACCTAGAAGCCGTACACTAGTTTTTATAAATGAAAAACAAAACACTAGGTTGTCATGGAGATATAAATTTGGAATTTCATGAAATTTTTACTTCAAAATAGTGCCTTTATGCGTGTACTATACAACATGACACTGATGTATTTGACTTCTACACATTTTTCTGAAAATTTTGATATCTAATTCTTTATATTACGATGACATTTGAGGTTATTACAGATTTTAGCTATTTTATCAAAATTTATGCAAAATATGTTATTCAACTTAATTACATGCCACTAGTCTTGTTTCTTAACACTTCTTTAACATTACTTTCACTATTTTATACAGTTTTATATTATACAAATCGTCTAATAATGAAATTATTTTAGGTACACCGTTCTTTGACATTCCGTACTGTTTTCTACACTATGTGAAATGAATATCAGTATGCAAATACAGTCTTGGATGCACAGAAAGTCTCATGAACACAATACAAGTCATTTTACATATGAAAAATATCATCTACACAATAAATTTTTACATACTACTACATCAAGGTTTGACATTTCGAAAATCGCTATCAGAATCATATATAGAACTTTAATTTTGATTCCACTCATAAATATCAATGAAAGGTATGCTAAACTTTACTTATAGTCTTATTTAAATACAATGTTTCTATTTATAAGTGTAATGTTAATTTGTTCTCCGAGAAGTCCAGCTGTCAAAATATTGTTTATTTAAATTTCCCTAAACCGGTGCTTCTATCTGGTTAAAATCTTTATAGAATTGTATTGGGTGCTACATTTTAATTTTCTAGTATATATTCTTGCATTTGTTAAGTATTTTTAATCGAAAATTTTCTATCGTAACTTTATTTTGACATATAGATTTTCTCAGGTAGCGATCTTTGCATTTTTGTGTATAAAACTCATACTATGTACTAAATAATATTTCTCCTTTCAAAATTATCTCGTGTGACACATCCCTGTTGATAGAGTTTTACCTCTCAACATTTTGATTTTGTAATTTTCATGTACTTGAGTACTTGGTTCTCGTTATATCATAACAATATATATATATATATATATATATGCGCGTATATATGGGCGCATGCGCGCTATATCACTCTCGCGACATCGAAGAAGATCGCCTGCAGGAATCTCTAACGACAACAGAATCTCTCGAAGGGCGTCGGGGAGGATACCACCGTAGAATTGAACGTTGACCAAAATCCCGGCGGGGTTCGATCTACTATCATCCCTAGAGCTAGTATTACATATTCAATTCACGAATTAGACCCGGAAGAACGCACCGGACGGGCCGGCGGTGCAAATGACGCATGCGCGCGGTTACATGGCGCCCAACTAGAGTGGCTCGACCACGGACCAGAGATACAGAGCTCTCATGCTCCCGTGACTTAACAAGAAGGCGAAAAAATTCTGAAAAATAAAGAACCTATTCTAGATCGACTAATAGAGGTCGATGATAGAACACCTGTTGTGGGGTGTAGGTACCCATCCCAGTGGTGCCCAACGAATATAGAAAAAACAACCGAACAAAAAATGATTGAGATGTTTAGTATAGTTATGGATAAATTAGCAGCAACCTTGAGTGGTCAAAATAAACAAGAAACGAACCGAGGAGAATGGCGGGAGTTTGTACCAACATACGAAGGAACGGATTATGAAAATCCCCGGGAGTTTGTACAACAGATCCGGGAAAGTTGCGAACGAAACCGAATCCCGACTCAACATTGGACGAAATATGCAGCTGCGAAGTTAAGAGGCGAGGCTAGTAAATGGTATGTAGCCTACCGAATGTATGACTGGTCGTTCTCCGAATTTGTGGGAATCTTATTAGACCGATTCGATAATCTACAATACAGAATGAAGTTGCAGAGAGAAGCATTTTGCAAGACGCAGGGCCGAGAGGAGGCGAGATTATTTATCGCTCAAAAAAGAGCTATATTTAGAAGATAGGAAATGGGAAGTGAGATGGTACTCCAAATAAAAGCACTACTACGACCAGAAATACAAATACAATTGGTAGGAATCAAGATGGCTACCGTTGAAGAGTTGATGAGATTTGCTACAGATGTGGAGACCCAGCTGAGATTAATTACTGGTGGGCCCAGTGGTTCGCAAGGGAATTCGAGCCAGGAATTAGTACCAATGGGAGCAAGACCAATGCAACCGTCTTATAATTGCAGATTTTGTGGTGGAGGCCACTACAACCGGGAATGTCCCAGAAGGGCAATAGAAGGAAGTAGCCCACCGGAAGGTGAACGAAGTCAAGGTGGAGAAGGAGAAATTAGACGAAATACGGGGGTCGTCAGAATCCAAGGACGTCTAACCCGAATCAACCGCCGAGGGCAGAAAACTAGAGATGAGTCACTATGTCGGAGCCAATAGTTGCTCACTGACCATTGGCTCCATGCAAGGCAACCAAAATGTAGCGAACTATTGAAATTACAAGTAAAAGTTGAAGAAAGAGAATTGATGGCCCTCGTCGATACGAGAGCTACGCACCCCTTCTTACGTACTGAATATTATGCAAATGAGTTACCGAACATGGGAGGACAGGTGTGTTTAGCGAATGGGCAGCAAGTCTGGGCCAGGGGCCCGGTTACGATGAAGATGAAGATAGGAAAGGATGAGACGAAGATAAAGGTTTACCTGATAGAGATGTTGAAAGAGGCCCTCATTCTCGGAACGGAATGGATGCGATCTGAGGAAGTCGTGATTGACTACAGACAAGATACCTGTACTTTAAGAGACCGCAGAGATATATGGGTGTCTAGAACGAAATGTACCAGAAATGTATCCGCCTCCCTAATTGGAAGAAGCAAACTGCGCAGAAGAATGGATTCCTCATTACCAAGAAATTATTGATAATTTTCCCGACGTCTTTACGGAGGGAACAATCCAACCTTGTATCAACCTTGTCTCTCACGAAATAAAGTTATCCATTTCGCATGAGGCGAAAACTTGTTTTCGGTAGAGAAGAAGAAAACTATACATGACGAAGTTTCAAAGATGTTACAAGCGGGAGTTATACGAAGAAGCTGTTCCCAGTACAGCTCGCCAATAATACTTAAGGACATACCGGATGGTACCACCAGATTCTGCATAGACTACCGCCAACTAAACAGTATGACGAAAGATGAGGTTTCGATACTGCCACCAATTACAGACATTTTACGAGATATTGGGAATGCGACGATCTTCACCTCACTGGACCTCAAGAGCGGGTACTGGCAGGTACCGATGACGCCTGCCAGTGTCCCCCTCACCGCTTTCCACACACCGGAGGGGGCGGCTTATGAATTCCTCGTAATGCCGTTCGGGCTGAAGAACGCACCCTCCACATTTCAAAAATTGATGGTGGAGGTCCTGGCGGGGTACGTGGACGATCTTGTCCAAGTATATTTAGACGACATCATCGTATACTCTAGTACCCGCCAGGAACATGTTCGTCACCTGCGACTAGTTTTGGAACGATTACGCTGTCGTAATCTACACTGTTCGATCAAGAAATGCATATTTGGAACCACGGAACTGGATTATCTGGGACACCGCATCACTGCGACGCGTAACGAAGCTCAAGACAAACATATTCAGAAGATACATCAGTTTCCGACACCACGAACCAAGAAAGACTTACAGAAGTTTCTAGGGGTAGCCAATTGGCTAAGGGAGTATGTGAAAGACTTCTCGACCATTGCCGCCCCCATGGCCAAATTGCTAGGAAAGCAGAAGTTCAGATGGGATGAGAAGGTGGAGAAGGCATTTCAGGAGTTGAAGCTGGTTTTATCCCGCCCTTTATTATATTTATATTTACATCGTCCTGACGCGGAAAAGAAATTCGTTTTACAGACAGATGCCAGCGCAGTGGGTATGGGGGCCGTCCTCTACCAGGAGGGGCCCGGAGGAGAGAAATTAGTTATCTCCTGTGCAAGTGCCAAATTCACTAGGACTGAAGCCAAGTATCACTGCAAGGAGCAGGAAGTCCTGGCTGTAGTTTGGGCTTGCCGAAGATATCGGTCCCTCTTGGAGGGGCGAGAATTCCTGCTGAGTACGGACAGCCGAGCCCTTTTGTGGCTCCATCGATATAGAGAGAAAAGAGCCAAATTGACACGTTTTGTTTTATACTTGCAAGAATTCAAGTCGAGCATTGTCCGGGCAGGGCCAATGAACTACCAGACTTCCTCAGCCGGAATCCGGAAGAATTAGAAGTCTCCCCAGTCAATGAAGAACGGATGAGTCCACCCTTATCAAATCTACCACCAACTATGAACTCCCCGACCTAACCAATGATAAACCTGACCGAAGCTGAGGTGATTACGTACTGACTACCAACTATGCTATTTCAATCCATGCAATTGTCCCAAATAGACGACGTTGACTTACCTTTATATGACCAGATCGTTCGGGAACAGCAAGAAAGTGTCGAATACCAAGCCACCCGAATCCGGATCCCAAGACAGTAGATATGCCCTGGAAGCAGACGCTCAGGGACCAGTATATTGTTGAGGATGGACTAGTCTGGTATAACGTTGGAGACCAGAGACGACTTGTTGTCCCCTTAGATTTTTAGCAAAGGGTTATACAAAATTTTCACGATAGCCCGGAGGCGGGCCATCCCGGACGGACGGGAAGAAACCCTTAGACTTATCGCGACAAAATATTACTGGCCGTCCATGAGGATGCAAATGCGGACGCATGTGCGTCATTGCTTAATATGTGCGGCTACAAAAAGAGGAGGTCCATGTCAGCCCAAGCCCCGTTAAAACCAAGGCCACCGAGTCGTCCTTGGCAAACAGTGAGCGTGGATGTTATGGGGCCATATCGGAAAACAAGAAAAGGGAATAGATTCCTTATTGTATTAATGGATGTATGCTCAAAATGGGTAGAGGCCATACCGATCCCTTTAGTTCGACCGAGGATAATGATAGATTTCCTTAAGCAAATATTCCAGAGATGGGGATATCCTGAGACGTTCATATCTGATAATGGACCCACGTTTAGAAGTCATCAATTTATATGTTTCCTGCAACAACAGCATATTGCCCATTATTTGACACCTATTTACCACCCGCGATCCAACCCCGTTGAGCGGCGTAACCAAGAACTAAATAAGCTCATGAGAGTCCATAGCCGCCAACGTGGTCGTGGGGAGGATCGCTGGGATGAAAACATCGACCAAGCCTTGTTCACTTTGCGGAACCGTCAAAACCAAGCAACTTGGATGAGTCCAAGTGTAGTATTGCTAGGGGCCCCGTTGACGGAACCGGGTGAGTGGAATCACCCGGAAGTGCGGAGAGCGATACAGAATGCTTCCCGAAACCGAGACGAACGGCTTCAGAGAGTAAAGCGACGCCAAATTGTATTCAATCGCAATTTATTTCCTGATAGAAGACCACCGAAGATAGTACTGAATGTAGACGACCGTGTACTAGCCCGCAACCCTCCTGGTATGAAAACCCCATTAGGTCCGCCATGGATAGGACCATATCGAGTACTCCGGGTTTGTGGGTTGAATGTGTACGAAATAGACTGGAATGATGTCCCTGTATTAGTACATATCGATGACTTACGCCCCTGGGAGGATCGAGAACAATGGCAAGAGCCTGGACCAGATCCAATGCATCTTCCGCCGGAGTAGGAACCTCCACGGGCAGAAGATGATCAAGGTATTAGACCAGTAAATGTAGAACCAGTCCTCGAAGAAGAAGAGATAGCGTCGGTGTCTGGACATGATTCGACTGCTTCTGATTCGGAGGAGGAATTGGATTCGTTACCCTATCCCGTCGCAAATGCTGAGGAACCACAACGAATAAGACCAGAGAGAACGTCAAACCTATATATACCACCCTATCGTCGAATCTCGAGCCAGAGGGGGAGGGGGGAGGGGGGATGTCACGGCCGCGGCCGCCGTGTTCCGCAAAAGAAAAATTTAAATTAATAAATTACCGCTAGCGCGACGACGCGTTACGCGAAGGTTATGCGCGAAAAATAAATTTCGTGTTGAAAAAAAAATTATTTTAAAAATTACCCAAAAATACCTATTTTTTCGAAAAATTACTTTTGACTTAAAAAAAAATTATTAAAAAAAGACTTGTGAAGGTTTTCTTCAGAAAAAACAAGTTTATCAAAAATATGTAAAATATATTAATAAACACGGTACAACTAATATTTTTCTATATCAGAAAAATGACAATGAGATTAACAATGTTAATAGTTAAAAACTTATTAACCTAACAAATATAAAGTAATAGTAATCATTGGAATAATCTCTGCAAAGAAAATCCAGGAAGTAACAAAATTCAAACTACCAGACCGTAGAAAAAGGAGTACTAGGTATATGAAAATGAACTTACTAAAACTGATTCAATTAATTACAAAAAAATCGCGGAGCTTTACTAACCACTTTTTATGTAATCCTCTGTATGTAACTAAACTTTTTTCGGCTTTTTCCGAAACTGTAAAAACTAACTTCGTCGGTTGAAATCCGAACTAACTTTTTTAATTACTGAAGGTAATTAACTATGGCGAGTAATCACCAACTGAGCAAAGAAACATCACGGTTTTGACACATTTATGCTATTTTGTTACAATGTGATGTTATCATTTATGGACCAATAACATTATTGTTATGCAACAACCTCGTTATATGCCTTTAAACATAAAAAAATCCCAGCGATGTCAATTTGAGGATGTAATGCGATATTACTAGATTTGAACTATCTTGCGATGTTACAAAATCAAAAGTAAAACTGTTGTATAAATGTATAAGTTTAGTTTTTTAAATATTACTAAAGATATTAATAAATCATCAGTAAAATGGCTTTTTGATGCTTTACGACTACTTTTAACCACAAAAAAATATAATTATAACATACTTATAATCAACACTGATATGTCGAGTTGTGTAGTGTTTGATCGACATGGGTACTCGGTGGAGACATCGGGAGTTCTAATCAAGCCCCACGTTGGGCGCCATGTCGTATCCTTTGATCTTTGTGTAGTGTTTAATCGACATGGGTCCTCGGTAGAGACACCGAGAGTTCTAATCGAGCCCCACGTTGGGCGCCATGTCGAGTTCTTTGATCTTTTGTGCCTAATTTTTGAGAATTTTGGGGTGATTCAGCAACATGAGCTCGCCGCGAAGATGACGAAGCAGAGCTTCGAGCCCCATGTCGAGCGCCATGTCGTAAATTATAATCTGAATTATTGGTTTCCCTGACCTGGGTCCGCAATAGAGACGCACGAAGTTCTAATGGATTTTCACTTGGGACGCCAGGTCGCATTAGATTTTCAAGTGACTGTGGTCTGTGGTGGATATGGCCTACAGACGTGGTGTCTAGGACATGAGCTCGTAGGGGAGATTTCGACGACGATGGTCGAGCCCCACGTCGAGCGCCGTGTCAGGTTAGACTTTCTAAATAGGGACCATTTATAGACCAGGCAATAAAGAACGATTTGCCCCAAAATATCTAGATTTTCGCGGCCCGGTCCGATTTTAATGCGGTTTTTTGCATTTTGTTCAGAAAGACCGTCGGAAAAAAGTCCCGCCTTTTTTATTATCCGGAAGTGGCGGAAATGCATCGCGGGTGCATAAAGTGCATCTAGAAGTGCATCGCATCCGAGAAACTTGCCAAAGTGCACGAAATACCGCAAAAATTGGTACTCGGGGGTTTTGGGGGGCGCAGAATTCGAATATGCATATATCTAGTCCACCCGCGCCCCCGGGGGGCGCGGGGGCACGTGGATTGCAAGGTTCTTCGAATGACCGGAAAAATGGATCTCGGGGGGGTTTCGCGGGTTCTGATTCCGAATTCGAGGGTGAAAAATATCCCCTGTGCTCGTGGAGGGGGGGGAGGGGGGGTTGAAATCTAAAGTTCTCGAAATGACTGGGAAAATGTATCTCGGTGGTTTTCGCGGGTGCTGATTCCGAATCTGAGGGTGAAAAATATCCCCTGTGCTCGTGGAAGAGGCGGTGGGGGGAGGGGGGTTATAATATTCATGAACTGATAACATGGAATAATGAGTATTTTGGTGATAGAAAATTATAATGAGTCATTTCGGGAATATTAGATTTCATACTCCCCCCTCCCCCCTCCACGAGCACAGGGGATATTATATAGGATATAAAGATATAGGATATAAAACCCCCGAGATACATTTACCCAGTCATTTCGAGACCTTTAGATTTCATACCACTTGCTACCGCTGGGTAGCATTTCGTGGAAATGCTGTGTGTACTGTATCGCCGGCGCCAACGGCTCCATGTTCCGATATCGGAGGTAGGGCGCTATCGGGGTCGGACGGCGAACCTTGGTTGGGCTCATGGGATTCCCCGGACCCTACCAGTTGATACATAGGTATAACCTCGTACCGAGTATTAGTGGGTGACCCACTTCGTGGTAACTCTTGAGAACGACTACTCGTCTCCATGGGCACGTCTTGAGGGATACTCGAGGTGGTATCGGTAACTCGTGCAGTCGCGGACCTCAGCCTGTACGGCACTGTGGTGTCGCCGTGCCGCGTACTACTACGAGCTACCACCTTCGGCTCCCCAGACTCTCCACGGAGCACCGAGATAGCGTTTGGGGGGAACGAGGCCTCGTCCAGCTCAGTCTTGATCAAAGAATCACGATCTGATTTATTTGTTGTACCTTCGAGGGCACCAATCCTCGTAGCACTGGATATCTATGTCGCGTGGCAGGGATACATCTTACCCCGTACGACAATGTCGGAGCAAGCTCTTTTGCTCCGAAAGTCTTGTAGATGCACTGACTCTACTTTAAATGTGGGTCTCTCGAGGGAGCCCTGAGAAGTAAGGATACTTCTTTAAATTTTGGAGTACGCCGCCGCAATGACGTGCGTACTATTGCTTTGAATTCGTAGATTGCAAAGAAAATGCCTCGTAGGGGTTTGACGAGGAAGGTTGCCTCGACGAGTGACCGCCTAGAGGTTTGACGAGGAAAGTTGCCTCGGATTTGCAGATCTCGATAGAGTCTGATTTATAGGACTCGTAGGAGCCTATGTGTGTATCCTGTACCGAGGTGCACGTCTCTCGATGGAGCCGGCACAATCGGAGTCAAGGTCTTCGTCGGAGGTCCTCAGCCTCGGACGGTATGCAGGTCTCTGAAGGAGCCTGAAATTTATCGCTGTTTCGATGCAGGGGGCTATCGAACAGGGTCTTCACCTCAGACTAGGCTACATCGGGTGGTATGTCTCGTGAAGCGAGTAGTGGTTGCTAGGCACAAATATCCACGTCAAGATATGGCAGCCTTGACGGGAGCCTCGTTAAGCGAGCCTGTGAGCTTGAGCTCCAAAAGGTCCTGAGTTTGATGACAGGGTTTTTTCAATCAAACCGTGGAAGATATGTTAAAAGTATTTATTGAACAGAATTAACAGACAATAAAGTTTCACAATTAACGTAAAATCCGCGTTTCCCCGTATAACGGCGTTTTGGCTCATCCGATTCCGACGAAATTTTAAGGGGATAATGCCAGCGACTTGGAGAGTGCTGCATTAAATTTTGACACTGATCGCTCAATAACTTTTCGAGTTATTGACGATAGCGTCCTTGACCAATTCGAAAGGTTAGTAAAATTTTTGATGGTAGTTTCCAAATATCGCCCTGAAGCGTCCCGGGGTTCGTCTGCAGGTTGCGAGAGTCGTTGCGGTGGATACTGAGCGCAGGGAAGGCAGACCCAGGCGAGATCGGTCGCGATGCGGGTGACATTGGAAACATCGGTGAAATTGGTCTTTGGAAGCGCTATCGCCGGGAGGATTGATGTCATGTTATGAGGCGACGTCCGCACTGAGATGCAGAGTCGCGGAAATCGCTCTCGGACGGTATCGAGTTCGATATCTGAAATGATACCGTGGAGGCTTTTTTGATTTGCCCGGCCGACGACGATTAGTTTTGCAACCGTGGCGGGTTTTCGGTTTGGATTGGAAAGGTGCGAATTTGATTGTTTCGCGCCTCCTTCCCAATTCAACGGTCTCAGGCATATCCGTAGGTACAAGACGGCGTTTAGGAATATACTGAGTGTTCTAAAATCCTGAAACTCGCTTGAAGGGTGGAATACGACAGATATATTTTTCGTAACGTTATTTGCATGTTTTAATTTAGATGTACACATTTCATTTCAAATTTCTGGGAACCAATGAAAAAATTAAATTAGACTGACACATACTCATTTTACAAAAATTAACCGTTTTCATTATACAGGATGTTTAAATTAATTTAAAAATCTCAAATGTTAAGAAATAAATTGTTTTCAAACTTGATATATAATGAACAATAAATAGTAAGCACCTTTTGACCTCTCATCAAATAAGATTTAGTTTAATGCAAAAAAATAGTGGTATGCAATCAGAACTTTTTCAGAAAACCCATAATTGTCAGCATACAAAAATTTACCAGGGGGTAAATCAGACCAAAATAACATTAAAATTCTTATAAAATATTTTTCTGCGATCTCACTGAGTTACAGGGTGTTGTTTAGAAAAAAATTATAACAACTTTCCGCAATAACTCAAAAACCTTTTCAAGGATTTAAGTAATTTTTGCGTGAAGTGTACATTTATTAAAGGTCATTAAAACTACATGGTGGTTATTTCGATCTGACGCCAGGGGCGGCCTAGGCC